TAAAGTCCTCAAGGTTAATCCATGTTATGTGGTGGCTTGCAGCTTCCTTATTATTTTCCAAGGTAGCATAATATTCCATTGTGTGTATATCCCAAAGTTTGTTTATCCATTTTTCTATTGATGAGCACTCAGGTTTTTGTATATAGTGTGAGATAAAGGTCTTGTTTCAGTCTTTTACACATCGATTTCCAGTTCTGCCAGCACCATCTGTTGAAGAGACTGTCTCCTCCCTGTTCAATGTACTTTGGCCCTTTATGACATTATCTTTTAATGTCATTTTCCACAAACTTTTTGAAGCCCCTTTTTATCATTGCTAATTATTCTACTAGAGGTAAATTAATGTATAATTTCTGGTCAGGCACTGAAGGATAAACACTGGAACACAAGGTTAGTTTGAATGCAAGAGTGGTAGTTCAAACTCACCCGCTGGTCCTTAGAAACCGTATTCAGGGTTGCAGTGAGTTGGAGCTAACTTAATGGCATGTAACAATAATTCTTGAAGAGTTCATAGTCAGAAGGAAACCAACTTGGAATTTACACAGTTACAAACACATACACAAGTGCTGCAGTTTCGTTTACCAAGGGGCTTCACATTAGGGAGGTGATGTTCAAATTGAATATTGAGTGATAAGAATGAGCTCAGACATGGAGAGAAAGAGCAGCTGAGGACTCTAAGACTCATGACAAGAGAAAGACTTGTAGAATGGTGGCCAGGAGGCAGGCTTGCAGAATGTGCCCTTTGGTTGTTTAAATTATTATATATTCCTAAGTGTTTTTGTGCATACATCCCCTCTCCCCCACCAAAAGAAAACAAAACAAAAATGGGGAATAGAAACAAAAATACTGTTGAACGATGATGCATGGAGGATATTGCAATGAAATGATGAGTGTAAAACCGATGTTCTCCCATGGAAACTGACACTCAGTTCACAATAAAAACTTAAAAAAGAAAGAAAGAAATTTACACACACATACATACACACACAAAAGAATGAGCTCATTAAATGGCCAAATGAAAAGTATTTATTTTGAACTCATAATGAAAGTTATATAGTATCTATATAGATTGACAAATAGTGATTCAACTAGAAGCTAGGACTGTATAACAGGTTTTGGAACCAGACCCCTAAGTTCATATCCTCAGTTTTGACACTCACTGTATGTGACCTTGGGCACATTACTTACCTAATTATATAATGGAGGTGATGATTATAACTTACTCAGGAGTTACAGTTAGAGTTGAATGAGTTATAAAAGTACCTGGCATGTACAGAAAGTTCAGTAAGAATTGGGCCTTGTTGTAGCTAGTATTATTTGCATGGAGCAAAATGCAACATTTTTATTGTATTAGCCAAACTAGAACTAGGGGCATAAATAGACTCGAGATATTTTATAGGTAAAATAAATACGACTTCAATTTGCCTGCTGTTTATGTATGTTGTTGTTGTTAAGTGCTGTCGAGTCAGTTCCGACCCATAGCGACCCTGTACAGGGTTTCCAAGGATGTAAATCCTTACGGGAGTAGAAAGCCTCATCTTTCTCCCGCGGAGCGGCTGGTAGTTTTGAACTGCTGACCTTAAGGTTTGCAGGCCGATTCGTAACCACTACGCTACCAGAGCTCCTTACTGTTTATGTATATATAACCAGAAATGTCAACTAATATTGCAAACTGAAACATAAAAATCAGTCTTGAAATTTGTATTAGCAGGTTTTTGATTTGTAAACTTGACAGAACTTTGATCTTCTAATTTGTGTTTTCTTTTAGATCTTCTAGAACATTTCAGCTATAGTCATTGGACTAGAAGGTAAAAAGATAGAAGCTGTGTACGATGACGCATTAGGATACTGAAGAAAATTTTTGAATTAAATATTTGGAATATAAGGAAGGAAAGGGACTGAAAATGGGGCGGAAGAAAATACAAATCACACGCATAATGGATGAAAGGAACCGACAGGTAATTGAATAGTTTACTGCTTATTTAATTGATCCGTATGATGTATTTTAAAAAAATTAACTTGAACTCTGAATTTATTTATGTTCAAATTAAATAAAAATTTTAACAGTAATGAAATAAACTGTGGCTTTTCATCATGTGCTTTAATAAAGACACTTTTTAGTTATAGAATTCATATACATTAATTATAGAAAACATAGATAAGGATAAAACTAAAAATAAATTATTTCAATCCCATGATGCCACTCACTTCATATGATGTTGTTGTTGTTGTTAGATGCCATCGAGTTGGTACCGACCCATAGCGACCCTATGTACAATAGAATGAAACACTGCCTGGTCCTAGGCCAACCTCAAGTTGTTGCCATGCTTGAGCCCATTGATGCTGCCACTTTGCTAATCCAGTTCTCTGGGGGTCTTCCTCTTTTTCTCTGACCCTCTACCTTACCAAACATGATGTCTCTCTCTAGTGACTGGTCCCTCCTTATAATATATCGGAAGTATGAGAGACGAAGTTTGGCCATTCTGGCCTCCAAGGAGCACTCTGGCTGCACTTCTTCCAACACAGATCTGTTGGTTCTTTTGGCAGCCCATCACACGTTCAAGTGTCTTCCTCCAATACCGTAACTCAGATGCATCAATTCTTCTATAATCTTTGTTACTCTGTGTCCAGCTTTCTCATGCATAGAAGGTTATTGAAAATACCATGGCTTGGGTCAAGCACACCTTAGTCCTCAAGCTGACATCTTTGCTCTTCAATACTTTAAAAAGGTCTTGTGCAACAGAATTGCCTAATGCAATATGTCGTTTGATTTCTTGACTGCTGCTTCCAAGATTGTTGATGGTTGATCCAAGAAAAATTAAGTCTTTGACAACTTCAATCTTTTCTCCATTGATAAGAATGTTGTTCATTGATAGAGTGGTAAAGATTTTTGTTTTCTTTACATTGAGAAGCAATCCATACTGAAGGCTGTGCTCTTTGATCTTCATCAGTAAGTATTTTAAGTCCTCTTCACTTTCAGCAAGCAAAGTTGTGTCATCTGCATTTCGCAGGTTGTTAATGAGTCTTCCTCAAATCCTGATGCCACGTTTTTCTTCATATAACCCAATTTCTTGGATTATTTGCTCAGCATACAGGTTGAATAAGTATGGTGAAAGAATACAACCCTGTCACCCACCTTTCCTAATTTTAAACCATTCAGTGTTCCCATGTTCTATTCAAACAACTGCCACTTAGTCTATGTACAGGATCCTATAAGTACAATTAAATGTTCCGGAATACTCATACTTTGCAATGTTGTCCATAGCTTGTCATGATCCACACAGTGGAAGGCCTTTGCATAGTCAGTAAAGCACAGGTAAACATCTTTCTGGTATTCTTTGCTTTCACCCAAGATCCGTCTGACGTCAGCAATGATATCCCTTGTTCCATGTACCATATTATATTTAATCTTGAATACATTTGACCATTAGCCTTCTATCTGGTTGTTGTTGTTAAGTACTGTTGAGTAGGTTGCAACTCATAGCCATCCTAATAGGGTTTCTGAGGAAGAGCTGGTGCATTTGAACTACTGCACTGTGCTTAGCAGTACAATGCTTATCTTACAACACTACACTAGGAATCCATTAGCCTATTTTTTAGATCATTTATATTTTTACCTTTATTTTTATAATTAGGTTAATAATACTTAGCTAGTTGTTGTTATTGTTAGATGACATCAGGTCGGTATCGACTCATAATGACCTTATGCACAGCAGAACAAAATACTGCCCGGTCCTGTACCAATCTCAGAATGGTTGCTACACTTGAACCCACCATTGCCACCATCTATGCCAATCCACCTTGTTGGGTGTCTTCTTCTTTTTCACTGACCCGCTGCTTTACCAAGCATGATGTCCTTCTCCCGGGACTGGGACCTCGTGATAATGTGTGAAGTGTGAGTAATGAAGTCTGTCCAGCCTGACTTCCAAAGAGCATTCTGGCTGTCATTTTTCCAGCACAGGTTGGACAGTCCATGGTAGTATTAATATTCTCCTCCAACACTATAACTCAAATAAACCAGTTTTTCTACGGTCTTCCTTATTTTCCAACTTTCACATGTATATGAGATTATATTGAAAATGTTGTGGCTTGGTTCAGGTGTACCTTAGTCCTCAAACTGACATCTTTGCTCTTGAACACTTTAAAGAGGTCTTGTGCAGCAGATTTATCAAACGCAAAACATTGTTTGATTTCTTGACTGCTGCTTCTATGAGTGTTGATGGTTGATCTGAGCAAAATGAAGTCTTTGACAGTCAGTCTTTTCTCCATTTATCATGATGTTATTTTTCGGTTCAGTGGTGAGAATTTTTGTTTTCTTTATATTGAGGTGCAACCCATATCGAATGCTATGGTCTTTCATCTTCATCAGTAAGTTGTATCTCATGCATACCTCAGGTTTTTAATGAGTCTTCCTTCCATCCTGATGCCAAATTCTTCATATAATCCAGCTTTTGGGGTTATTTTCTCAGCATATGGATTAAATAAGTTTGGTGAAAGAATACAACCCTGGTGCACACCTTTCCAGATTTTAAGCCATTCAGTGTCCTCCTGTTCTGTTTGAACAACTACCTCTTGGTCTGTGTACACGTTCCTCATGAGAAGAATTAAGTTTTACGTAATACTGTCATGTTGTCCATGGTTTTTCATGATCCATAGTCAGTAAAGCACAGGTAAACATCTTTTTGGTATTCACTGCTTTCAGCCAAGATCCATCTTAGACGTCAGCAGTGATAACCCTCTTTCCACGTCTCTGTCTAAATTTGGCATGTACCTCTAGCAGCTCCCTGTCAATGTACTGTTGCAGGCATTTTAAATGATCTATATCAAAATTTTACTTGCATATGATATTAATGATATTTTCTGATTATTTCCACGTTCCGTTTAGTCACCTCTCTTTGGAATGGGCACAGATCTAGATCTCTTCTAATCAGTTGGTCAGAGAGCTGTGTTCCAACTTTCTTGACATAGATGAGTGAGTGCCTCCAGTGCTGCCTCAGTTTGTTGAAAGATTTCAATTTGTATTCCATCAATCCCTGGAGCCTTCTTTGCCAGTGCCTTCAGTGCACCTTGGACTTCTTACTTCCGTATCATTTGCTCTTGATCATATACTACCTCTTGAAATGGTTGAACTTCAACTGTTTTTGGTACAGTGGCTCTGTGTATTCCGTCCATCTTTTTTTTATGCCTTCTGCATCATTTAATACTTTGCCCATAGAATCTTTGATTTTGCAAGTTGAGGCTTGCATTTTTACTTCAGTTCTTTGTGCTTGGGAAATGGTGAGTGTGTTCTTCCCTTTTGGTTTTCTGACTCCAGATTTTTGCGTATTTCATTACAATATTGGTGTCTTATGGAGCTGTCCTGTGAAGGTTTCTGTTCAGCTGTTTTACCGCCTCATTACTTCCATTTGCTTTAGCATCTCTATGCTGGAAAAGAAGTTTCAGAGTCTCTTCTGACATCCGTTTTGTTCTTTTCCTGTCTTATTAATGACCTTTTGTTTTCTTCCTGTGTGGTATTCTTGATGTCTTTCCAGAACTCTTCTGGTCTTTGGTCATTAATGTCTAATGTATCAAGTGTGTACTTGAGTTGACCTCTGCATTTAGGTGGGACATGTTCAAGGACATAGTTTGGCTATCCTGGACTTGTTTTATTTTTCTTCAGCTTCAGCGTGAATTTACATAAGAGCAGTTGATGGTCTGTTGATGGTCTGTTCCACAGTCTGCCCCTAATCTTGTTTTGGCTGTCTCTTTTCACAGATGTAGTCAGTTTGAGTGTATTCCATCTGCTGATGTTCATGTATGTAATCTTTATGTTATTTAAAACAGTATTTGCAATGAAGAAGTCATGGGTCTTGCAAAATTCTGTCATGCAATCTCCAGCACCATTTCCATCACCTAGTTCCTGTTTTCCAACTACTGATCCTTCCTCTTCATTTCCAACCTTGACATTCCAGTCACCAGTAATCAATACATCCTGATTGCATGTTTGATTAATTTCAGACTGAAGAAGTTGGTTTGTTGTTGTTATTGGTGTTAAGTGCTATCAAGTTGTTTCTGACTCATAGCAACCATGTGTAGTGATCCGAGGAACATCTGGTGAGTTTGAACCACCTTCCTTGGTGATTCAAACCGACTTCACAGTCCAGAGCTTATCCTATAGTGCCTTAAACCAGCAACTTTGTGGTTAGCAGTCCAGTGCTGATCCTACAGCACCACATTCCTTACAGTCATATGCATATTATCCTTTCATAGACAGCACTGCATTTCAAGATAGATATTGAAGTGTTCTTTTTGATGACGAATGCAACTCCATTCCTCTTCAATTTGTCATTCCCACCATAGTAAACCATGTGATTTTCAGACTCTGAATGACCAATACCAGTCCATTTTAGTGTGCTTATGCCTAGGGTATCGTTTATGCCTTCCGTTTCATTTTTGACAACTTCCAATTTGTCTAGCTTCGTACTTAATACATTCCATGTTCCAGTTATTAATGTATGTTTAAAGCTGTTTCTCCTCATTTTGAGTTGTGCCGCATCAGCAAAATGAGTGTCCTGAAAACTTTATTCTATTCATGTTATCAGTCAACTCTGCTTTGAGAAGCAGCTTTTCCTGTGTTATTTTGAGTGAACGACTTCCACCTTGGCTGGCTCATTTTCCGGCACTATAAATGACATTATTCTGGTGCTTTTCATCATATTTTGGTATTCAGCATTATAACACTGATAGTGTTCCACTGCTATTCATAAGGTTTTCAGTAACTAAATATTCAGCAATAGTCTACCTCTCCTTCTACCTAATCTGTCTTAGTTTGAAGCTCAACTGGAACCTGCCCATCACGGGTTACCCTGCTGGTATTTAGAATACCAGTGGCATAGCTTCCAGAATAATAGCAACACAAAAGCCACAATAGTATGACAAACTAACACGCTAGTGGTGAAAGTTCACTAGAGTTACCA